AGAAATTCAAAGGAACATTACTAATAAATTAACATAGAAAGTAACTGGAATGGAAAAAAGATGTTTGACAACACGCAGAAGAAGCCTTTGATGATTGGACATTACTAACAGTTTAATCTAACAGTTAATACATCACTCAGCTTTCTCTTCCTCCCACTATATACCCTCCTTATCTTTCTTTTTAAGCAAAACTCCTCCCCTTTTTAGGGGAGTCAATAAAATCTTTATACAAAAAAAAAAGAAAAGAAAAGAAGTTTTAGTCTAGTCCTGAAGTTCTCTAAAGATGGTGCCAATCTAGGGACACCAGTGTCCACCAGTGTCCACTGCTATTAGCCACAAGGTATAGATAGGGACTCTGAGGCAAGTGATGCTCTGTCATCTTGGTGCTTGGGGGGGTCAACAGTGGGATGGCTTCTAATGTCCTGGCCCCACTGGTGGACCTCCTGATGGCACTGGTATTTCTGGCCACTGTGTGATACAGTGTTGGACTGGATGGGCCTTTGGCCTGATCCAACATTGGCATCTCTTATGTTCTTACGTTCTTATAGCAGGAAGCCTCTCACTGGTTGGTCCCTCCTTCATACCCTGGGCTCCTCAGCACAGTGGAAGAAAGACCTAGGGCCAGAAATGACATCCAGCAATGTATGGTGTTACACTCACCCAAAATCCTGGATGTGATGTCAGAGCATTGGAAGTTTTGGGGGATAGCTAGAACATCAGTCAACACACTGACGTCACATGTGGGATTTAGGATTGACGTGACGTCACGTGTCAACAGACATTTCCATCTCTTGTCCCATCCTGAAAGCTCATAGGGATGCCAGACAGCAGCCCACTCACAGGTCTTACTGACGGGGGGAACCGGCGACGGAGGCTCCAGGCAAAACTCAGGCAATACTCATAGTGCCATCCTAAGCAGAGTTGAGTCCAATCTAAGTCCAATGAAGTCAATATGCTTACAATGGAGTAACTCTTCTCAGGATGGCACTGTTAGTATACTTAAGATACTAGGTCTTGTATGTAAACGAATTATTTATGTACTTGGGCCAAAAGACTGCCATAGAGCTTGCCTGGTACCTTTGAAGATTCCTCTCAGCAGGGCACCAATTTCTTTCCCTCTCAGGGCCAGCTTTGTAACCAGGTCTCTCAACTACAGCAAGAAGAAAAAAGAATTGCAAGACTCATTTGCCATATCAATATGTTAAACTTACCCAGTATGCTTTCTTGATTGGGAAGGAGGTGGATATGTAATCCAAATAAAAATAAAATGACGAATTTGTCCGATTGGTTGTGAAGCTCAAAATTAAAACCAAAGCTAAAATTCAGTGGCAAACAAGAATGTAGGATCAGTGCAATCATTGGCCTCTACAGACATTTGGATTCGGGGAAGAATTACATGAATTGTTGTATAAATTCTGCTGTAAAGATTCTTCCAGTTTAGCACCAGTTATAGTACAGTGCAGGTTCGAAAAAGAAATGGCTCCTTAGTCCACAGCTCCTCTGTGAGAAAGAAGCAGTGACAACATGGGTTTAAGATTTCCAACAGCTGCCCTGACCTGGATAGCCCAGGCAAGCCCAATCTCATCAGATCTTGGAAGCTAAGCAGGGCTGACCCAGGCAAGTACTTGGAAAGGAGACCTCCAAGGAATACCAGGGCTCAGGACAACAGAGGCAGGCAATCCAGCTACCTCTCTGAAATGTCCAAACCCTACTGGGGTTGCCAGAAGTAACCATGATGACTTCCAGGCATGCAAGCACACACACACACCCAAAATATTTCCAACAGCTGTTGGCTTGTTGCAATCAATGTGCAGAAGAAAAACCAAAACTGGAGACACGAGGACTGTGTACACATGAGGTATACAGGCAACGCAAGTAGAAGGGTAATTGCGATGGGGTCCTCTGCACCCTCCCAATTCTCTACACACACTCAATCTAACATGTGAAACAACCTATGCACATATAGGAAGCTTACACATATACTTTGTCTTCATGGCCAGGAACCCAGAAAAGGCAGGGATTCTAGTTACGCAAACCAAGCTTATGCACATATATTTTTTATGTATGTAAACTCATTCAAACATTATAGTAAACACATGTCAAAGGCAGGGGAGGAGTTATGAGCATGGGCAGGTGCAATCCCACTCATCCTCAAGTATGTGGACTGTATGTTGCATAACCGATATATGCTCCTTCAGATAGCTGGAGGCCCATAACTGAAACACTAGCAACCCACCAGTGGCGTACAGTAGCCTTGCAATTTGGCCCTGAGGCTCCTACTAGTGAGAACCAGCAATAATGAAATGCAATAAATAAATAAAGTGATCAATATCTTGTTAAAGGCAAAGGTCCAGACAAAGGTATTACTGGTAGACCCCCTTAGTGTAGTGCTTTGGGATCCACTGCAACAACTTGCCTCTTCTTCCTTCAAGTTCTGTAGGCATGCCTGAAGCTGCTCTGTTTTTTCTTCTGCTGCTAAAACCAGGATTTTTTCATCCATTACAGCTCAGTTAACAAAAAAGAACTAATTTTGACTGTGATCTGCAAAATTAACAAAAAAGACATGCAAACACAAATAAAGACAGGAGCCACAGATTGATCATTTGCCTTCTTGCAATTGCTACCAAACAGAAAGAGCCTAACTATGCAATCCTATGTACATTTTACCTAAGGTGTAAACTGCACTGAAAACAGTGGGACTTACTTTTGAGCATATCTGCACTGTTCCTCTTCCATTTATACAATCAGCACTGAGCCCTGAGCACTTTCAAATAGTAAATCTTCTCCTAATCTGTCCTACTTTGAATTACCGGTGGTGATACACTAAAAGTTTGAATGCATCACAGATCTTCCCAATACAGTAAGAAATCTGTCAGCTTGGCTGACTCCTTTTACCTGGCATGCTAGATTTTTAAATACATGGATGAGGTGTTTGTCATATTCTGCTTTTTAGCCACAAAATGCCTTCTAACAGCTCACAGGAATCAAAATCCAGTATAAATGACAATATATTTCTCAAGGGACATTTTTCATTGGCAAGAGATTCTTAGTTGAGATATATTTAAATTTGATGGCAGAATGGAGGAGTTAGTCTTTATTGCAGCCCACAGGTCATTCAGATGCAGAAAAAACTATTATAGAGTTAATTACCTACATAAAATCTCAGCATACATCATTCATCCTAGTATATCTTACAGTTTTAAGGGTTAGAATCTGAGTAGGTTATACACAGGACATTATCTGGCTTGTATTTTAATTGCAGAAAACAGAAATTTAGCTACATATACAGTAGTTCTTTTGATAATCCAGTTAGGTGAGCCAGAGGAGGTGGATAAAGAGAAGGGCAGCAAGTCCAGTGGCGAGCTGGACTCGGGGTCTTCTGGAGAGGACTCTCTTTCTGAAAAAGGGGCGGCTGCCCTTAAAAGTCCATATAAACTAAGGAAAAGACAAGAAAAGAAAAAATGAAGGCTGAAGGACTCTGAATTGTGCCTTTGAAAATATGGTTTGTAATAATGGGATGCTCTGGTGTTTCTCTCTAACAGTTAAATCTATGTGTTAAAAGATATTTTAGCATGTCTAAGTTCAAAAGTTATCAGCAATTTAAGGAATTATTTTGTAATTAAGCTGTTTTAATGATCTCCTTCTCTCGGGATTTTAGTAGTGGTCATCTTTACTTTCTCCTTAATTGTAGTTCCCTTCCCTTATTTCTTTGTAGTTTGTAGTCCAATTAAAAAAGCAATAAAAAATCCCCTCCGGGGGGCAAAAAAAAAATAGTGCAGATGGTAGCAAATTAAATCTAGCTAGCGTGAATGCATGGCAATATCTTGGAACAGTTAATATTGATAGATAACATGCATATTGATGTGGGATCATTGGAGCTAAGTTGAATAGTAGGGGAAAACAAATACTGCAGGTTTTAATCAATGTTTCTTTAAAATGGTTGGAATGCGGGGGGGGGACACGGGCCGGAAAATGGGGGGGGGGAGCGTGGCTGTTTGCCCCGGAGCAAAGTAACGGGTGGCGGCCCAATCACATGTCCCGTGGAGGTCCGGTGGGTATGCTGTTAGGTGCCGATCACACGGCTATCCTGCAGCGTGGCAAAGAAGCAGCGTGGCGCGATCATACTGGCAATCGCTAGGTGCCGCTTCTGTGGCAAACAGGAACTTTTTTCACTCACCACAGTGTGCGCATGTGCCGGTGGGTGTTTGTGCGCATCCTGTGGAGACTTAAAAAATAAACAAACATCCGGTTTGCGACAGGACATGGGCGGGCGCCGGATGCCACGGGATTCCAGCGGAAACACGATCAGACGCCCGCCCTTGCCCCGCGTTTTCCGGAAACTAGCACATTGTATGTACTAGTTTTTTACTCCGTATCTTCGGCAAGAAGCCACACGTTAGCCACGGGTGCACTATGCTTCCCAGATGCTGCAGTGTGATCGCGCCCGGAAAACCCACCTATTTATCCATATCTTTAGCGCGGCAAATGCTCCGTGTGAATGGGGCCGGAATTCTTTATACAGTCATTGATCACTAAATTAACTTTATTTAGCCCCTTGAAAACGAGGGGAAAACCCAAAAGTGGTCAGTTTCTCATCTACTGATTTAAGCCAAGCTGGAGTATAAGGATCAGTTATTAGGCTATAAAGAAAATTGTTCTGCTCACTGATGAACAAAAGTCAGTTTCTAAATCTAAAGACTGCTAGCCAGGCCAAATTTATAAGTGATGTAAAACCAGTTTGTAACCTGAAGGCCACCTATTTATCTACTTGCAAATTTTTGCTTTCGAAAAAGAATGTTATTTTTAAGCATGTGTGTTCTATGGCTTGTTGCCGTAGTAAATGACTGACTGGCTTTCAAATGCTAGGTTGGCAGGAGCTGGGGCCAAAGACGGGAGCTCCCTCAGTCACACGGGACTGGGATCTCGAACTGCCGAACTACAGACTTTCTGGTCTGCAGCTCAGCGCCTTAACCTCTGAGCCACCGCAGCCCCGATTGGTAAGATGGGATACAGTAAATAAATTATAAATTAGTAGGTAGCCAGGCACTTGTTCACCATGCCTGGTCTCAACTCCAGCTGAGAGTCCTTTCCAACCACTACAAGGTGAAAAGGCAGCCCTGAGGTACCTCTCAAATGTGCCTGGACCAGGCTAAGAATCTCCTCCCCAAGGAATATTTTGTTTTATACCGAGCCAGGTATTTGGTGGATCGAGGCCAGTATTGTGCACACAGACTGATAGTGGCTGTTTCACATCACCTAGGACCTAGTCCTTTGAACTGGAGATGCCAGAGATTGAACTTGGGAGCTTCTGCACACAAAGCAGAGGCTACTGGCCGTACCATGTGTCTACTCTGAATGGGAGCAGCTCCCCAGGTTCCCTGGTGGAGGCCTTTCGCATCACGCACCGCCAGCGATGCTGGGGATGGAAGCCGGGGCAGTTTGAATGCAAAGCATCTGCCCGATCACTGATGAGCCTGTTTTGGACTTTGCCACTTTTATCAGGCCTTGATGCCCAGGAGCCTGCTGGGGAGCCAAGTAGCGGCGAACGAGCATAACGAACGCGAGAAGAAAGCAGAATCTGATCTCTTTATTTCGCACCCCCCCGGGCCCTCCTGGAGAGGAGTCTTGTGGGCCCAATGTTCCCTCTAAGCTGTGGAGTCTTGTGAGCGAAAATTCTACTTTGTGAGCTTACTGGCATTAAAGTTGTGAGCGAGCGATTTGGCTGCTGCGTAAATTGGTTCGCTCTGGAGCCATATCTTCCTGAGCGAAGACAAAAATCTGTGAGCCGGAGGCTTAAAAAACTGTGAGCTAGCCCACACTAACTCAGCTTAGAGGGGACACTGCTTGTGGCGCCTCGAGGGGTGACACGGCTGTTAAATTACTGTTCTTCCAGCGTCCGCTTCGATGGGCTGGAGCCCACTTGGCCCGATACTCCGCCGTGGAGCCTCCCCTGCAAGCCGAGGGAGGCGAAACGCGCATGCCCGGAGGGGCTCCTCTCCTCCTTCTGCCCCCCCCCCCCCGCCCCCCGGCCCCCCGCCGTAATGCGCATGCCCGAGCATGCGCAGTTCGGCAGCCTCCCCCCCGCGGGGCGCCCCCCCGGTCGACCCCCCCACCCGCCATGCCCCCCCCCCCCGGGCTACTGACCCTGCCGGCTTCTCTCCTCTCCTCAGCCCCTTCCTTCCTTCCTTCCTTCCTCCCCTCGTCTGCCTCAGAAACCCCGCCGGGGGAGCCGCCTTCCTCTGCCCTAACGCCTCGGCGGTATCCAACTTTCCCGCCAGGAACTCGCGTCAGCGTTGCCCTGAGGCACAGGACAACTTCCGGTTGCGTGGACGTCAAGGTGGCTTCGCTTCCCTTAGGGGGAAAGACGGAGCACCGACTGCCGGTTCCAAGAGAAAGCGGTTGGTTCTCTGTGTGCGCACCGAATGCGGTCGCTCCGAGTGGAAAGCGTGGGTGATGTTAAGCCGGAAGTGTCTGTTAAGGACTGCGCTCCTTTGCTATCTCTATGGGCTCTGCCATCCCTATTTCCTACGGGCGGGCTGTTACTTTAATGTTGCGACTGTCAAGTGAATCGACCCGTTCATTCTTACATGCACGTCGCCACTTCCGGTAATGCAGCTTTGCCGGGGACGTGTATGCGTTTAACCTCCTTTGGAATCTACCACTCGGGGGCTGTTTGGTAAAAGGAAGTGCTCCAAGATCCCATTCCCCCATCTTTACTTCTTACTGTTTTTACAACTAAGGTCATAAACAGCGGAAACCCTGATCCCACATAAGACCCTAGAATTAGTGAGCATGTAGCTTAAGATCACTTAGGAGCTGCGGTGGCTCAAGTGGTTAAGACATTGAACTGCAGGCTGTGGAAGGTCAGTAGTTCAGCAGTTCGAGACCTGAGTGTGCCGCATGATGGAGTGGGCTCCCATCTCTAGTTCCAGCTCCTGCCAACCTAGCAGTTTGAAAGCAAGAAATTGCAAGTAGATAAATAGGTACTACTCCAGTGGGAAGGTAACAGCATTCCATGCACCTCAGCGTTTAGTCATGCCGGCCACATGACCACGGAAATGTCTTCAGACAGCGCTGGCTCTTCGGCTTGGAAACAGAGATGAGCACCGCAACCCTAGAGTCGGATTCGACTGGCTTTCGAGCAAGGGAACCTTTACCTTTTGTGGTAGGACAGCTGCCAGGAATTTCACCACACACCAAAGCTCATACCCTGCCACAAATGTGGTTAGTCTTTGAGGTGTTACTGGACTCTTTTCTACAGAATAGTCTCTGAGTAACCAAGATGATTTCGCTTCTGGGGAGAGAGAAGTTCTAATTAAATAATGGGGAGATACTTCAGCTCTTTATTCTGAGCATGTAGGACAGTCAAACAAGATGTGGTCTACAGAATCAATTTTGTTGTCACAGTTGCAGAGTCTATCTGAATAGGAGATGCCACTGAATCTTCCTTGTGTCACGGCTGAGGGTAGGGCATTTAAGTGTACTTTAGGATAATTAACTCAGATAACCGGGCATTTTTGTTGAAGAAAGACTGTCAACTGAAAAAGACGAGCACACTGCAGGATCTAATCAACATACTTCCGTAGTCAAAGTCTCTCAGGCATCTTCTGGTGAGCCGGATCAGTTCCTGTCTGCTCATTGTTTCTGTCACATCCTGGGTAATACCCAGACATGATCATTTGTGATCCAGAAGTCTGTCCCAGTCACTTCTGTGATGATCCTGCTTGACTAGTCCAAGGAGACTTGATTCTGGGTTTGATTTTAATGTCCTAAATTTTAGGTTAAATGCTCTTCTTCCCCAGCTTCCCATCTGCTGACCTCCCAGTCTGCAGCACACGGATGCCCTGCCTGGCAGCATATTGAATACAAATTGTATCAGCCACCCCATCAGCAAGAGAACCTCCCGTGTTCAGAGGCACTCTGAAACCCAGTGCTAAGAGGAAACATCAGGGAAGGGCTTTGGTTTGTGTACCCTGTTGGTTCTCCCCCCCCCCAACTGGTTGGCCACTGTTAAACAGGGTGATGGACTAGATGGGCCACTGGTCTGATCAAAAAGGGATTTTCTTATGCCTTGACCTTAGCTAACCTCCAGCATCACTCTCTTAATCATTTTGCATGCAATCTATATAACATTCTTTCTAATTGTTTTTGTCTCATGCAGGCTTGACTGGCTTTTTTTCACTGCCATGAATTCAAACAAAAGGCCCATTTAAGAACTAGCAGGAACAAACCATGACTCTCTTCCCCATGCAGGTTGTACTAACTAGCATGGATCATTTTGTACATATTCTTTAAACACTGCAGGGACAAGGGGAAGCCTTTGTTCTAGGAAGGGATTTTACCTGTGTTTAGGAAGCGTGGATTAAGCTAAGTAGCCAGCTGCTAAACACAGCTCCCTCCTCTCACCAAGTGCTTTCCATAAAAACCAAAGCTGCTCAGGGACAAGAGCCAGTCTCAAAGCAAGGGAATGACAGCCACAGCACACAGAATGTAGAACTTGGATGCTGTTAGTAGTTCCCATGCTTACTCTGGCAAAGAAATTATATTTCAAGGCATAATTATGAGGACCAGCCACACCAAGATACTCCAAACTGAAATCAGTCTGAAACTGAGTCAATAGACTCAGCAACCTCCCCCGGATTAGCTTGGGAAGGGTACTGAGAATTTTACATTAGAAAGCCCCAGCCCCTTCACAGCACTGCAGCTTTCAGGATTTTTTTGGGCCAATGGCAGATTTTGCATTAGCAATGTACACTAACTTTTCAAAATCAAACTGGGTTTCTACCGGGAAGCAGAAAAATTACTGAATGACATATCACATAACATGTCTCTTTTTTAAAATGGATGTCTTCCTCTTATGTAGCTGATAGAAGCACTGGACCTTGTGTCCACGCCTGCCCCCGCCCCCCAAAGGAGCCAGGCAACCTATCCCAGACTTTCATATCGGGGCTTGGTGGGTGGTGTACAGAACTGATGCTGCTTTGGCAAGGGCCATCTCCTAGTGTCATTCATGAACTTTTCAGTCCCAAATTTCCAAATCTGGAGTAGTAAAAAACCCCAAAACCTGACTATTGGCTGAACCCATTCATGCCTTCCTCCCACTGTTCCATACTCAGCCATTTGTCTCTTGCTCTGCCAGTAGTGACTCCATTCCACCTGCAGTTCTGGTGATGTGGGATTCAAATCCTTACTTACAAAACACGGTCTTGTGTCAGCCCCCTCATTTCTGCACGGCCCACTTTGCTGGAAAGCCCCTTGAAATCCCTCAATACAGTAAAATGCTCCAGCTCAGGGGATCCCTAATCTGCGTGCCCTAAACCAGATTTTCCAGTTCATTCATTCAGAAGAGAAGAGAACTAACTTTTACATGCAACAACGATGTTGCAATGAATGCCATTTGTTCTTTTTTTTCTCATGCAACTTAAAACCTCTGGGCACTGGGTTTCTTGCTGGCTTCATCCTCAGAGCACGGCTTCAAGGCTTCAGTTATTCACTCTGTACCTGTTCGGAGACATTTTTTTATGTGAAAAGTTCCAGAAGATACATTCCTGGGATCTATGTATAGAATCATAGAGTTGGAAGGGGCCCTACTGACCCCTGCCCAATGCAGGACCAGCCTAAGGCATCTCTGACAAATATTCATCCAGCCTCTTCTTGAAAGCTGCCAGGGTAACCATGTATATCTGTTGTAAATATATAAAGTCACCTTTTCTGTGATGCTGTTCTGATTTCATAATTTTTACTTGCAAATGGGGCATCTGCAAGTAATACTGTATATTGGTGGGCAGTATTAAAGTATTAGATTAAAGCTCCCAGCAGGTGTGGAATATTCACTTATCAGGCATACAACGGGACTGATTTGGATTGGGATCAGGAGGGGATTTTTAAACCTTCCACCCTCACCATTTTCCAAATCTGAAACAGACCTGGTGAGCTGACATTGGACCTGTTGGGACAAAGGTATTGGTACAGTACAACATGCTACAAAGAAGACATGGGGAGGGAGGTCCTGTAATCTTCTTGCCCTGCTTGCAAACTTCCCAGAAGTATCTGGTCTAAAGCAGAGCTTTGCAGTAAATGAAGCTGATGCAAGCAGAATTCAAAGTGGCTGTCTGATGAGGCTTTACAAATAGCAGAGGAACAAAGGGAAGCGAAAGGCAACGGTGAAAAGCTTCCTGAGATAGCTGTGCACAGAGACAATGTCAGTGTACTTATGTAGCATTCTAGAAAGAGCTCAAATTGCTTCTAGATGCCTGATCTAGAATCAATCAAGGAGCCGCATCTAATAACTGAATTGTGATAAGGCCCTATTTCCCTGCCGGCGACCTGTGGCATATTGAGATCAAGATGAGTTCCTCATCAACACAGGTTTGAATATTTTATCATGATTGTTTCCGCCATCCTTATGCAATGCTATTAGTATTAGTTTGTTGATTCTAGCACTTTATGATAGTTTGGATTTTTATGATTGTTTTATAATTGTTATTTTGTATGTTTGATTTCTCTGTAAGTCACCCTGAGCCTGCTTTGGCGGGGGGGGGGGATAAATTGAATAAATAAATAAATAAATCTCCGTTATCCTGTCCAAAGGAGTGGCAAAGCCCAGAGGTGGAACGGCATAGTGTACCGCTTCAGACAACATGTGGGACAGGTATGCTGTTTTTGCAATGACCCCCACTTTATGCAAGTACAAAACTATCAGAGCAGAAAGAAAGACTTTCAGCCATCTCTGTGCTAGGCTAACTTTCCAGTTGCATGAAAGGTTTTTAAAAAACGTTTAAAAAACAAAAAAACCCCACTCCTCAACACACCTGTAGTTTGACTTGTTACAATTTCTGCCACCTCACTTCTACTGCTTATGTAGATCCACCCCCAGTCATCATCATTACAACAAACCTGTAAGGTAGGCAAATAATGCCCTTCATTCTCCCATTTCTTCCTTTCGACGGCTGTCAGCCACACAACCAAATTTATGTTGCTATCCCCACAGCAATTATTTTTACTCATAGCCCTTCAGGGTCCCTCAAAGCCCTTTTTCTTCCCACCCAGCATTACTCTAATGAGCATGGCCCAGTTACACAATAAGGAGCTTTTATACTTGCCTAATCAGTCTCAGAATCCCAACAGCTCCCCCCTACACCGCCATGCACTTCTGCCTTTTGTAATTGTTAATGGGGGTCCCTTATTTGGGCTGCACTGACCTAATTAAAAACAACAACAAAACACTGTTTCAGGCAATGCCTTGTGATGGTCTAATCCCAACCCGGTGACTCTTCAAAGCTTTTCTTCATGAAATTTCCTTTCTGCTGCTCCACTGTGGCCCCATTTGGTTCATTGCTGGCTGCGCTGGTCAGTCTCTCTGCTGACGTGATCTTCAGGGCTGTGTGCTGCTTTTTTAGGAACTCTTTTGGCTTTTCCGGTAAGTGTTTTGCCTTTTATTTGGATTGGGTTTTGTAGGTTCCTCTTGCACCACAGTGTTTCCAGAGCTCAGAAAATAAGAAGTCTGCACCAATTTAGTTTAATATTCTTCCCCATCCTACTGAGCACAATCCAGGCAAAGTTAAGCATTTGTAATTTCTCCCTGAAATGAAACAACAGGACTAAGAGCCTGTTCCAAAGTAGGGCATTTTATAGACCTTTGAGCTGTCTTGGTATGTTAACATTTTTAAATGATTGAACTGCAGAATATTTTTATTGTTTTATGTGTATTTTAAATATGATGTGAGCTGCCCTGAGCCCTGCATGCAGGGAAGGGTGGGATAAAAATCCAAGCAATAAGCAAACAAAATAAAATATTTACTCAGAAGTAAACCCCACAAAGACCAATGGAACATTTCTTAGTAATAATTCCTGTCATGACCTTGACTAGACTGTGCATATTTTTCTAATTTTGATCCAGCAAACATGGGTCTTACTCAGGCATGCAAACCCTTTTTTTAGGGGGGTGCAAAATGTATAAACCAACCAGATTTCCCAGGACTAAGATTGGGAGGAGGAAAAGTTGGGTCAACTGAGTGCACCAGATCATTGTTCTTGACAGTGTGTTCTGACCAATGTTCCCCCTAAGCTGTGGAATCTTGTGAGCAAGCATCCTATTTTGTGAGCTACTGGCATTAAAGTTGTGAGGAAGCAATTTGGCTACTGCATAAATCAGTTTGCTCTGGAGCCATCCTTCCTGAGCTAAGACAAAAATGTGTGAGCCAGAGGCTAAAAAACTGTGAGCTAGCTCACACTAACTCAGCTTACAGGGAACACTGGTTCTGACCCCTCTTTCTCCCTCCTTCCTTCCTTCCAAGCAAGCTTAATTGATCAGACTTTGGGCTTACCTGGGAATTCAGTCCTTGTCACCGGACATCTTTGTTCCACAAAGAGCTTCCAGATATAATCAGAAATGCCCCACCAGCACACTGCTTGAAGCCTCAGTAGGGAAAAAGGGAGTCATCATAAGCCCCTCTCCAAGGACTGCCTCCTTCCCCCTTGCATTCCAACCACAAAAAAACATTACAGGGAGCTTGCTTCCATTTGCTTTTTTTTTTAATCCCATGATAATTTAAATCCCATGGAAAGAGGAAAGATGAGAGTCAAATGCAACAATTTTTAACCACAAGATTCCTTGCACAGGTCGCACAGAACATTCATGACAGTGTTGCTCCAAATCACTGTTCAGCCATTCAGCTCACTGCAGGCTCTTGGGTCCGTCACCCTCACTTTGCATAAGTGGTTTATTTTTAACTCCTGACCTTCCTCCACAGAGGTCAGGGCAGTGTACCAGGTTCTTTCCTCTATTTTGTTTTTATTTATTTAGCTTATTTACAGCCAGCCTTTCTCACTGAGATTCAAAGTGGATTACAGCGTAAAGAAGGGGGCGAATATAATTATAGAGCATAAGACACCCAATAAACAATGCAATGCGCAATAGGTTGGGTAGAGTGTGGGTAGGGCTGTGTCTCAGTGGCCGAGCATCTTCTGTGCATGCAGAAGGTCCCAGTTTCAATCCTTGGCATCTCCAGTTCAGGGTGTAGACTTTCCAATTTCCCGGGGGGGGGGGCTGGGGCTGGACCAGAGGCATTGCTGTGCTAGGAGCAAGGGTGGCTCCCGGGGGAGGCTGAGCCCCTTCCTGAAAATTCCGGCGGGGGCTGAAGCCCCGCCGCCCCCACGAAGATCACGCCTAGTGAAAAAAGACTCCTGCCTGAGACCCTGGAGAGTTTGCTGCCAGTCAGAGGAGGCAAGGCTGACCTTGATAGACCAAGGGTCTGTCTGAGTAGAAAGATCCCTCGGTGCATTCTTGGCTGAATGGGGATGTGAATGGGGATCCCTGGCACTAGTCTGACAGGCTAACTGTTATACCACACTAGTCTTTGGCTCATAAGCTAGGGTTGCCAAATCCAGGTTGGGAAACTCCTGGAGATTCGGGAATGGAGCTTGGGGAGGACAGGGACCTCAAGTGGGGTACAGTGTAGGCACCCATTTTCTCCAGGGGAACCGATCTCTGTAGTCTGGAGATGAGCTGTAATTCTGGGGGGTCCTCAGGTCCCACCTGGAGGCTGGCATCCCTAGCCCATACAGGGCTGCAGTCCTCTGTCTAGTTAGCTGCTTTTTGCCTCAGATGCTGGCCCTTCTACAGAAGAAGGGACTGTTTTTCCACTTGTTGGTCATTGGAATCCTTGGATGGATGGAATTGTGGGATTAATGACACTATGAATGAAAACAGAGGAACCCCTTTGAGAGTAAATCTTGCCTGTGGAGGTTCTCTTGACATTTTAGGATAACTAAGCTTAATGGAAGGCTCAGAAGCTCTGGGTACACAAGGCTTGCGAGGAGTTCTTAACCCAAGATTATCCATGCTATCTTTCTGTAGGTGTGTGGCTTAGGAAACAGCATGACTTCGGTGGTGAGTAACAATCCCTGTTCTGTTCTGTTTGTTCAGTTTTCCTGGTCACACTCATAGGGATAAAGTGCTAGCCAGAACCTCTTCCCAGAGAGACTGAGGTTCTCCATTTCTCTAGGACAGGGATGGTGGGGACCACTGTCCTGCTTCACACCTGCTGGTTGCTGAGATGTTTGTAAAAGATTCTGGAATATACAGGCTAATGCAGCAAGGTACTCCCTATGTTTTTCAGCAAGTGTCAAACTAGACATGAAGTCAGGAGATCTTTTTGGTGGGCATACCTCCCCATAACTGGAGATTGTAGCAGCTTTTGGGCACCCGAGTTAGACAGATGGCACGGGGTGGGTGGTCCACATCATGGCCCAACCCATAGTGCTGCCACGAGTCACTATGGGCCCCTGAACAAAGCCTACATTTGGGCCTCCCCCCCCATCACCCTGATCAAACCAAATGTTATTGGCTTGCTGTTACCATCCATTGATAGAATAATAAATGTCCATTGGGTAAGAAACATTACAGGACAGGACAGGATTATTAGGGAACAAGTTTTACTTAACTTGCTTACACAGTGCACAATAAAACAAGATATGGTGCGAAAAAAACACTTTCAAATCACCACCACCAAGCACAGGTCAACATTAAAGGAGGAGGCAGATTTGAAGAAATCTAGCTTCTTCCCCCAAAGTATCTCTCCTCTGAATCAAAGAATTAATCTTGACTTTTTCCCACCTCCAGGAACAGGTGTTTTAAAACTGTCCAGGAGGTGTCTCCTCTGTGCCTGAAAGGAGCACTTATTTGGAGCACCCACACTGAAAAATGTGAACAACAACAACAAACAAGTGGGGACCTGCAAGAAACTTGCAGGGTGGCTATCCCATCTCCCCACCATTGCTTCCTGCTCTCTACCTCTCTCACACTCTTTTCTCCCTCCTACAACCCCTTTCCTTACTCTCTCCTCCATGTCTGTCACTTTCTCTCTCTTTCTGGCCTCCACCCCAGCACTCTCTGTTTTTCTCCTCTCCTTTCTGTGCCCCATCACTCTCCCGGACTGCTGCCTGCTACCCCTCCCCCTCCGCACAGCATGCCCACCCACCCACCTGCTTCCTCCCCCCCACCACCACAGCAGCAGTGGCAGAGGCCGCTCTCCAGGAATCTCCCAAATACAGCAGTAGATTTCCCTTACAGTTGCCAGCTCCAAGTTGGGAAATTTCTGGAGATTTGGGTTGGAGCGTTGGGACAATGAGATCTGGGGAGGGAAGCAACCTCAGCAGGGTATAATGACATAGACTCTACCCTCCAAAGCAGCCATTTTCTGCAGGGGAACTGATCTCTGACATCTGGAGAGCAGTTGTAACTCTGGGCAATCCCCACCTCACCTGGAGGTTAGTAACAGTAGTTCCTGTGGAGAAAATGGCTGTTTTGGAGGGTGGCACTATACCTGTCTCACTGTCTGATGTCCCTTCCCTCCTCAAACACTACCTTCCACCCCTCAAATCTCTAGGAATGTCCTAACTTGGAAGTGGCAACCCTGTCTCCTTCCCACCGAACAGCCAGCCTACTTTAATCTGCCTCTCTGTCTTCAGCTCTCCATCTCCACCCCACTCTCCTGCAGCCTCTACCCAGGAAAACTATCGTCTTTCTCCACAGTGGGGACCAAAACAGCTTACATTATTTTTTCCTTTTTATCTGCACAACTCTGTGAGTGAGGTTAGGCTGAAAGTATGTGACACATCCAAAAGCACCCAGTCAGCTTCCACAGCAAGATGGGGATTTGAATCTGGCTCTGACCACTGTACCACACTGACTTTCATAGAGTGGTTTGCCATTGAACAGGAGCAAGCAGCCCAGGCCCAGGTAAGTCATGCAAGTCAGGTGGTATCATGTTACCCAGAGGTGGCTGCCAGGCCTACGATTGACCACCTCTCAGTGGGACCTGGAGATTTCCCAGAATTACAACTGTACTGTACTTCAGACAGGAAAAGAGGAGACATGTAAGAAGTCCATCTTATCCTCCCTGGGGAGGAGCCAGGTGATCTGAGTCTTCTTGCATCTGCCCTAACTTTAGAAAGCATCTCTAGACCCTGGATACTGAAATCCAGTGCCTCCTTAAACAGAAGAAAGCGGGAGAGAGCAGAGAGAGAGACCACTCCATCCCTCTCTCCCAGCTTCAGTGTAAGATTTCGGATTTTACAAAATCAAGCACTTATCTTATTCTTAGGCCTTGTTCCAATTAGCCAGGTCCTATCCTAGTGTATGATCAAGCTTGTTTTCCATTCACCAGCACCACATGCCTCGACCCCACAACCCACTGCAGTTTTCCCAACCTAGAACTAGGGATTGCCAACTTTTTTCTTACTGGCTGCTATTTCTGTTTCTCTCACAGCTGCTTGAACTGCAGGAACATAGTTGCAGTTTTCTCTGTTTTGTCAAAAGTTCCACTTAGTGATTTCTATAGAACATGCTTCCATTAAAGGTAGAGGAGTGAACCAAACCTCCTCCTTGGCCAGTTGGCAACCTTATTTGGAACTCACACTGCTTTTAGACAGAGATGTGTTTCTTCCTGTGATGCTCATTCTGAGCAACTGCCTGAAACTTCTTTGCTGCCACCACAATGTGAGGTTTCACAGCTCTGTCCCTCCATCCTATTCTTCTCTGGGGCATGAAATAATTGAGAGCTCCCCCCCCCCATCTCTTCCAACTAGGGGCTCATTTACCACCGGACAATTTTGTTCTTGGGCTACAGAAGCAGGGAATGGGACACAAATGGTGGGCTTTTTGCAAGGCAGATGCAAGGAGGAGGATGACTGGCAGGGTGGTTTGCCAACTCAGGTTTGGGGAATTCCTGGAGATTTGGGGGTTGAACCTAGAGGGCAGAGTTTGGAAGGGAAGGGACCACAGCAGGGTATAGCATCACAGAGTCCACCTTCCAAAGCAACCATTCCCCCCCAGTTGATCTCTGTAGTCTGGAGCTCAGTTGTCAATAATTCCAGGAGAACTCCAGGCTCCACCTAGAGGCTGGCGAACCTAAGGAACCCAAAGGCGCCTCCCCCCCCCCCCCAGCAGAAGCATTCCAGGAAAGCTAAATTGTGCTGTGTCAGCTGTCACAGAGTCCCAGCTCAGGGGCCTCAAGCTGCCTTTGATTCCTTGGAATTTTGCCCCCCCCAGTCCCCCTCTCTTAGTGGCTCTGCAAACCCAAATCTCAGCAGTTCTATTGAATAAGAGTAAAAAGGTACCACCAGGCAGCAGTGTTCCCTCTAAGCTGAGTTAGTGTGAGCTAGCTCACATTTTTTTAGCCTCCGGCTCACACATTTCTGTCTTAGCTCAGGAAGGGATGGCTACAGAGCAAACTAATTTACGCAGTAGCCAAATGGCTTGCTCACAATTTTAATGCCAGTAGCTCACAAAGTAGAATTTCTGCTCACAAGACTCGACAGCTTAGAGGGAACGTTGCCAGGCAGTGCTTGGTGAGGGTTTGAGAATTTAAACTCTTCACATGGGATGCTGCAGCCAGATGGGATGTGGAGGATCTGAAAAGCAGCCAGAAGACATCACAGCTATAGTAGATGGGGAGGGGGTTCAACCATTCCCTGGGCAACAGCAATTCTCACTGTAAGAATCCCTCCTCCCAAGTCTCTCATTTGCCCCAACAGACAAAAAAGACTGGGAGTCATAGGACTGGGGAGAAGTTGCCATGATGAAAGCTGTGCAGGGGGAAAGGGCCGAAGCCCTCATCCACTGACACCATGGTTCTGATCCAAATCAGAGTGTCAATGGTATGTAGACAGGGAGATTTGGCCACAGTTCTTCTTCCACGTCTCATTGCCCACCAATGTCCTTATCCTCGCCTCAACGTTTTCCCTGTCATGTCCTGGCAGTTTGAATTGGCATTCCATTAAGCTCAGGTCCTCTTGTGGTTTCACCCCCCCCCCCAGCCTGGCACATTCAGGATCGTCTCTGAGGAGGAACAGGCCTTGCGTTTGAAACTTGAGCGGTTGACCACCAAGGACCACGGCCCAGTCTTCGGGAAATGTGAGAATATCCCTGCCCACACTTTGCAAAAGGTGAGAATGGGTTACGGAAAGAGAATTGCTGGGGATCAAGGGTAGCTCATGAGGGTGGCAGAACTGGGAATTGGCCGGTCTGACAAAGTACCATTCACTCAGAAACTGCTTCCATTTGTATTTTGTTGGGAGGTATGTGTGTGAGAGTTGTGTGTGGGGGGGCCTTGGAATGAACAGAGTGTGCTACAAGGATATCTCTATCTTCACTTGAGAAAAGTTGGAGGGCATACATGACAACAAGCCATTGTTGGCCACTAGATGTCGCCAGGCACTCAAGCAGAGAGTGACCTGTTTCTATTGGTGGGATTTATTTGAAGCAGGGTTACCACTGGCTAAAGGAACATGGAAAATCAAGCAGTATAATGGAGCTGCTGTATTGACAAGAGATAGGAAAGGGGGTTTGTTTGTTTTTGGCTGTGCATCAAACAAAACGCATCTGATGTCCTGCTGCAGGACTCAGACGAGACACAATCTTTTGAGGGTGAAGAAGGGTCTGCCCCAAAGGAGCAAGAGACTTTATTTTATATACCCTCTGCCCCCTCCAATGTGAGGTGAGGCTTGTGGTTTTGCACATACAGAAACAGGGAAAAACAGATACTTAAGCAGAATGTCTAGGAAGCTTACACAGTATAATAATTAACAAAGCTACTCCTGGCTTTAAGATGCTCGCAGTTTCAGGATGTGCAAAGGTCAGGAATTTTAGTGTACTTGAGTCACTGATCGATCCTATATTGACAGAGTCTGGATATGAACAGAACCAGGACTGGTGTGCCATATATCGCTGATCCTCCCCACATCCTGCTCACTTAGCCTGGCTTCTCCAAGAGGTGTAGTTTCTAACCTTTGCAAATACCAGACCTGAGTTTTAAGGTAGGGTTGCCAGCTCTGGGTTGGGGAATACCTGGAGGTTTTGGGGGGTGGAGCCTGAGGAGGGTGGGGTTTGGAGAGTCCACCTTCCAAAGCATCCATTTTCTCCAGGTGAACTGATCTCTGTTACCTGGATTTCAGTTGTAATAGCGGGAGATCTCCAGCCGCCACCTGGAGGCTGGCAACCCTATTTTAAGGCCTCGGCCATAACCTCCCATATCAGACACCACAATTTAAAAGCTGATCTAGCTGAAGGGAACCCTGATGAGGTCCCTTCCCTTCCAGTGGGGTTGGTAAAGCTGAGCAAACCAGCTTCTTTAGCCAAACAAGTGAAATCCATCCCTTTAGCCTCAGGAAAGGAGGCCGTCTAGTCCAGCTTGCAGTTTTTGACACTTGCTAGCAAGATGATTTCAAAAAGCCCACAAACAGGAGCCTTCCCCTCCCTTTAAGTTCCCGAGCACCTGGAATTCAGAGGTATACTGCCTCTGAAAACAGAAGCGCTGTTTAGTTGCACATAGCCATTTGTACATATTTGGCATGAAACTTTTTTCAGGGGCATTTCTTTCCCTCTGGTGTTTATGGGAATCAGTCACAGAAGTTAGTTATACACTCTGCCTAGGAAGTAATACAGTGGTCTTCAGTCTTTTTGGACCCAGGACCCACCTTAAATACCTACATGGCAGCTGCAACCACGTGATAGGCAATCAGGGGCCTTCAGAATCGCATGACAAGAACAGTAGAAGACTCACTGGTAGGGCTGTAAAGGATGAACCCGCCCCATAAGGAAAGCATTCCTTTCCAAACAGACACATGGAAATGAAAGGCCTGTTCCAAAGCAAAACATTAATCACTAAATCACGGGGCTATACTGAGATGGCTGTAGTCTTTGATACCCACTCCCTATAGAGTTCAGCCCTCTGACTGAAGAGAAGTCAGAAGTTTATTCCCCCCCCCCCAGATGTTAAGTGAAAACCTTGTATCCCAGCCAAACATCACTCATGTTTATTTTTAAAATATTTTTATTTAAAATCAATCTAATCATTCTTGAAATAGTAAATATGAAGAAATCACAATGATACAAAATATAACCATATGTAAATGAAATCAGAAAGATATACATATTATTCCTTATTCCATCTGTGTTAAGATTAAAAGATAAAATACAATCTGTGACATTCTCACCGAAGTGATAATCTCACACAACCCATATCTGAGAGACTCGGGGGTGTTTGGAATACGGCTATCATGCCTAGGCCAAATTCCATGAAACCAAGATGACCATACCAAAATTCATCACTTCCAATGGTATGAGGTGAACTCTTCTCTGAGTGTAGAAGACATTTTCCATATAAATATATGTATCAAAACTGTGAACTATTGGATCAGCTTGTTCAGAGATTTTTCTGGGCATCTGTCCATCTAGTCAAAGTTATCTCTTCCCCGAGGATGGGACTGTGAATATATAGCTGCAGGAAAAAAATCTGTACAAGTTTTGTAAATCTGAAAACTAAAGCAATTTGTCAGTCCCACATTTGGTCAACCAATACAGCCCTGCAACAGGGCGAAGGGGACTCCATACTGCTCGTGTTGCAGATATTTGGAGGTTCAATTAATGGATGAGCTGGCCAGAGGTAAGAGAGAGAAGGGGCTTTGGAGAGCTTTGGAGAAGGGGCAGTCTCTTAAATTGGTGGTGGAAAGTGCCATCAAGTCTCAGTGGCACCCCATACGGTTTTCAGAGGTGGTTGCTGTCAAAGCGTCCCGAGCTCGTCCTGGGTAGGGATGCCAGGTCTCACCTTTGCAGGGGGCTCCTAGCTCCTTGTAGGGAGTCTTCTGCCACACACGCTTCGTGTTTGGGGCAAAAACTCTAGGGTAACCATAGAGTTCCCCCAAATGCTAGAGCATTGCCATGCAACAGTCCCAGTATGATGACATCACTACCATTGATAGCATTGTGTCATCATTGTCGATGGCAATCCTAGTCCTGGGCCAGAACAGAAAATTACGAAACTCTGGAGTATGTCTCCTCACCCACCAGTATGGTACCTGGTGGCAACCAGCCCTTTTGACTATCCCAACGATTAGAAGCTAAAGGGCAAGCCTCTAAACAGGAAAGTCCGCCCTGCAAAGTGTCAGGACCCAAAGCCAAACAACAGAGCACAGACTTCCAAGAAAGGTTGTACTTTATTGTTAGTATACTATGGTTGCAGTAACATGTTCACTGTTAGGAATGACGAGTATAGAACAGGCATATAGTGATATAGAGGATTCAACAGGCCCCCCCCCCCCCCGTGGACCCAACGGGCCGTTTTCCCCGCGGGTGGGAAAGAATAACCGATGGTTGAGGCTGAGAAACGAAAGGTTAATTAAAGTGGAGACACTACACAGGCAGGAACACAAGGTCAGCGATAACGATGAGAGAATCAAGAGGGAAGGAATGTGGCACCAACATGTACAGAGGTCAGGCAGGCGAACTACAGGCCTATAAATCATATGGCAGCCTAGCTGACACAAAGGTGGGTTACTCTGGTGGGTGGTCAGCCAGGCTAGGCTCTGGATTTAGACTGAAGTCAGGCTGAAGGCGAATAACCACAACAATAATTAAAACATACATTTTATTAAGATGCAAGGATACTTTAAAGAAACTGTGAGGATAAAACAAGAAAGCTAGAAATTCAAATGCTAACTGAAACAGTAATACATTGGTTCCAAATATCAGCTGTTGCTGTTCTCCGTTGAAGTTCCAGTAATCCAGAGTGGCTCTTTTCTGAGTCAGCATAGCCAGAAGCTGTCTGGCTCCTGTAAGCAATGTTCAAGATGGCCACTGTGATCACAGACAGTTACCATCAAACTAGAGAATAGACTAGAAACCTACGTCTTATGGGTAAGAAGGCCCCTCATGGTCTCAGGGACCCTAGATGGTGCTGTATAGCCAAACTGTTAGGCCAATAGCAAACTAGATGAACAGCCTAAGCAGTGGTCTGACCATGGGGAGAAGAAAACCAATTTGTAGCTAGGCTCGTCCCCTTTCCCACAGGTGCTTAACTGAGTGGACCATGGCTAATTGGGAGCTGGTGCTGGGCTCCTCAACTCTCTCTGCGGCTGGGTGTTATCTGCAGTTTCAAAAGATCAGGGTGCTCTAGCTTCAGCAAGGCTGTTTTTCTGAACTGTATTAACCCACAAGCAGGCCACATCTGAAGCCTGAACCAAACTTTGAAACAGACACAGAATTTTGGGGGAACCAGTTTTCCTTACAGTTGCAAGCTCCTCTACAGCCAACATGTGTTTGCTGCCTTTGGGGGGGGGCTGGGCTTTACTGGCTAGTGTGCACGCACGGACTGCAAAGGTGCATCTTAGTGCTCATGCTGAAGGGAGCAGTAGGAAGCTGGGGCCCACCCACTTACCAAATAGGAGAGGTTCTTCTTTAGCAAAAGTAGCTCAGAGACTGACTTGCCCTGACCTGGCTGGCCCAATCTCGTCAGAGAGCAGAAGTTAACCAGGGTACCAAAGAAATCCAGGGTCGCTACGCAGAGTCAGGCATCCAAATTCCTTTGACTTCCTTCACTCCTACATAACATCAGTGGGCTAGAGTCTCTTCATTCCCACAGGCCAAAGATGAACTGAATGAGACACCAGAGAAGCGGGAATCAGCTGTGAAAGAGCTGCAGGACCTGGTCCAGGGGAGAGCTGATGGAGGAGAAGACATCTGCAAAGCAGTGGCTGAGAAAGCAAATGGAAAAGATGGCACCTTCTTCCTCCGCTTCATCCGTGCCCGCAAGTTTGATATCAACAGAGCTTATGATCTGCTTAAAGGTGTGTCCCCCCCGCAATCTTCCCTATTTGCTGAGCAACAAGCAGGGTAGTAATTGCAGAGAACAGCATTCAATACCTCTTTGTCCTTAGGTACTTTCTACCATCACTATATTGAACCAAGTCTAAGGTACAGTTAAACTGCATTTTGATTGTACAATGAAGGACCTCACATTTATTTATTTACAACATTTCTGTCCCGTTTTTGCCCTCACAAGGGCCACCAATAGAGATGGGATTTCCTCTGGCTGAATGGGGAGTCCAGGAAATGACCATTCTTTCATGCCTCCTTTTGTTTAAAATCCAGGCAATAAACAAGCCAGCAATTAAAAGAACCAGCTGAGTCGAGAGACACAAGACAATGCTAGTGGTTTTGCCTGGTTTTGAACTTTCCCAGATAGTTTTTTCCCTCCACCTGGTGGCTCTTAATGAGTAGGACTGGCTTCAGTGAGAAGGAAAGAGATTGAGAAACAGTAGCCAGAAAAATAAAATTCCTTCCCTTGAGGGAGGAGGCATTAAAGAAAAAAAGCTAGGCCCTTGATGTCTCGAGCATACTCACAGTTTCCTGAAGCACCTTGTTTTTGATATGGTGCGAGAGATACAAGTACGTCAGAGACCAAGCATGAGCAAACTTTGTGCGGCCTGCTCTTTTCATTCAACTGCTTCTTATCTCCATCTCATAACCTAAGGGACCGCCTTTCTCCATATGTTCCCCCAAGAGCGCTACAGTCGGGGTCGCAGCACCTACTGGTGGTTCCTGGCCCCAAGGACATCAAGCTGGCTGCAACCAGGGCCAGGGCTTTCTCGGCGGCGGCTCCTGTCTGGTGGAATGAACTCCCAGAGCAGGTTCGGGCCCTGCGGGACCTGGCGCAGTTCCGCAGGGCCTGCAAGACGGAGCTCTTCCACCAGGCCTTTGCATAGGAGCCGCCGCCGTCACTGTACCACCACCGAGTTGCCATCTTCGATGGATTAGATCTGGAGGTGAGCTGGCCCTGGGCAGACGCCTAGTCAACCGAAGAATGTATGTTGTCAGGTTAGGTTGATGAATGGAACTCATCTTGGATTAGAAAACTTTAACATCAAGAGCACCGCACTTTATTGAATGATTGTTTTATACTGTTTAATGATTGCTTTTATGTTGTTTTAACTGTTGTTATGGCAATTGCCTCTGTTGTAGCCGCCCTGAGCCCATTGGGGAAGGCGGGGTACAAATCTAATAAATAAATAAACATGTGACGTGTGAACAGCACCCATCCCTTCTCAGGGTCCCCCCCCCAATTGTCATTCCCACCCCCCCAGCTTCAGAACAGTCTCCCTCACCTGAATAGTATTCAGAAGAGACTAACATCATATTCTCTATTTTATGTTTTATGGACAACTGTATGATATTTTAAAATGAATAAAAATAAATATAAAAAAGAAGAAAAAAGAAGAGACTATAGGATCAAATTCTTTAGGAGGGAATACGAAGGGACAACAGTGTAGAATTTTAACACCAGCAAGGGGCTTTCAAGGCAAGTGAGAAGCAGAGGTAGTGTGCCGTTGCCTTCCTCTGCAGAGTCTTCCTTGATCGTCTCCTGCCCATGTCCTGATGAGATCAGGCTATACTATGCCACCTTCCCTCCTAATTTTTTTTGTTTTTGCAGTCGAGTCACAGCCAACTTCTGGTGACCCCACAGGGTTTCCAAGGCAAGAGATGTTCAGGGGTGGTTGCCTACCCTGGCATATCAACGCTGAACTTCCTTGATGGTCTCCCACCCAAGTACTAAACAGAGCAAACAGAATTCTAAAAGAACTCGCTCCAATGCTGAGTGACCTTGCTTCACCATCATGCTGCCCCTGAGATGCATGCACACTAGCAGCAGATCACTCAAAAAAGGAACACAGCTATACATATGGAGGCTCTGTGAGGGCTCACAACTTAACAGGTGAGGCTTCACAATCCACCTGAGGGTCCTGGCCTCAGGCTGAAGACGACCACTGCTCTAGAGAACTTCCACGGGACAACACTGAGCTAGGTGGACAAGTGGTTTAAATCAGTATAAGGCTGCTACAGTCAGTCATCTGTCCAGAATCCGTTATGTGGGAATAGTGGATTCAGGCTATCTCCTCAGCCGCAGCCTTCTTTCTTTCCCTGACCACAGGCTACGTCAACTTCCGTCAGCAGTATCCAGAGCTTTTTGAGAACCTGACGCCGGAGGCTGTGCGTAGTACCATCGAGGCTGGCTACCCAGGCATTTTGTCCAACAGGGATAAGTATGGGCGGGTGGTGCTGCTGTTCAATATTGAGAACTGGGACTACGAAGAGATCACCTTCGATGAGGTCAGTATCTTACAGCCAAGCTTTATTGACCCTACAGATTGGGACCAGTTTAATTCACTTGAAGAACAAAGTATCAGGGAAGCCCTTAAGGAATTCTGGGAATTGGAGTTTTAAAGGGCTACAAATTCTGCACAACGCCCCCCCCCCACACACACAAACACACTATAATGCCTCAGATCCCCTAGGAAAAAGAAAAGGCCAAAATCATTTAAAATCTAGATGCAAAGATTTTAATGAATATATTATTAAGCTATTCATCCATCCACCAGACCATTGTGCATACTTAATAGAGGTTCCAAAATCTTAGTTTTCAAGGAGCTGGACCTATAAAAAAGGAGTAATATGATGGATAATGGAATTGGGCAGGGGGAGAATGTTTGTATGGCAGTGTAGGGGAGTGCTGTCAGCTCTTTCTCCCATTATGTTTTCTACCATCTTCTTAGTTGCAGCTCAGGTTGAATGAGATTTTAGAATGGGCTGTAGCACTTGAAACATGTGGAGAATACGATTGTTATGCTTTTCGCGTTTTTAAAAACTAGCCCACAAGGGAGCAGACTGAGCTAGAACTTGTACGCGATTTTTTTTTCCTTCTTGCAGGAAATTTTCTTCTTACATAGGGGGGAAATATGATCTTCTACCCACTCTGAAGTACCAATCTTTTCTACTATCTCAGTATTTTCTCACCTCATTCTGCTGCCTCCGTGTAAGACCCGGGGGCTCAGATACAGATTACGAGCAAGGCCCTCGTCTTCAAGCTTAAAGCGTCATTTATTCTGATAAAAAGGTAAAGGTTCCCTTGCTCAAAAGCCAGTCGAATCCGACTCTAGGGTTGCGGTGCTCATCTCCGTTTCCAAGCAGAAGAGCCAGCGCTGTCCGAAGACATTTCCGTGGTCATGTGGCCAGCATGACTAAACACCAAGGCGCAGGGAACGCTGTTCCCTTCCCACCAAAGCTGTACCTATTTATCTACTTGCAATTTCTTGCTTTCGAACTGCTAGGTTGGCAGGAGCTGGAACTAGAGACGGGTCATGCGGCACACTCGGGTCTCGAACTGCTGAACTACAGACCTTCCACAGCCTGCAGTTCAGCGTCTTAACCACTTGAGCCACCGCAGCTCCTCTGATAGCACTGCATAAAACAATCACCCGGCTTTCTGGATAGATCCATCCATTCCAAGAGTTGAGATAAGGCAACAATTTAAACACAAAAACATCTGGGAAAGGGATGGGGATGTTTGAGACAGTATATGATTTGAATGCAGAGGGGCCGAGGTTCGTGTGTTTTATACATCATCAAGTCACTTACAGCAACCCTATGAATTAATGACCTCCAAAACATCCTATCACTGACTTCAGTCTTGTAACTGAAGGCTGTGGCTTCTTCTATGGTGTCAATCCACCTCATCTTGTGTCTTCCTATTTTCCTACTGCCTTCAGCTTTTCTTTTCCAGTGAGTCTTCTCTTGAAGACAGCTTCAGACCCTAACATTTCCATTTAAAGTGTCTCGGGTAGGAGGTACTGGGAAAACCTCCCTCTATCTGGGAAGTCACTGCCCAGCCTGAGACAATGGCCCATTCTGCATCTAGCATTAGCTCCGCTGTTTTACCAGACCCACATTGGAACAGAAACTCCCCTCTACATTGCATGCCACTTTCACTCTTTGATTATCAGATTTTATGGTAGCTTCCACACTGCATGCCAGTTTCACTTCCTTTGATCTGTTTTATGGTACCGGTTGCATAAATTTATGGCCGTTCAGGGGTGAATCTGCAGTCAGTACGGTGCTGGCCTGGGGTATTTGAATGTGATTTCGAGCTGCAACTTTTTCTGTTCCAGTGTGGGTTTGCTAAAACAACGGAGCGAATGCTAGAAGGAGAATGGGCCAATGATCATATCTGAAATTATAGTCTGATTTTAATAGATACAAATCCCCCTTCTCTTCCTGTGTGCCAACTCTGAAGAAAATTGACCCAAAGCACTCTGTTGTCCCAAGCAGCTGCTCTGCAATGATCAAAAAGATGGGCCCCAGGATCTCTTTCACTGATGCAGAGGATGATTAAGAGGACAACTCTTAAGAGTTTGTACACCTATGCACAAGCCACTTCCAGAGACCTTTACAATGCTTCCTAAAACCAAAAGTATGCATCTGCCTTGCACAATCCATGTTCATAGAGACTTTTACAACACCTCCTAAAACCAAATGTATGCACCTGCCTTACAGCAAGAAAATTCTCTAGTCCATCTAAAGATCTACTCAAAGATCTGAAAAATGGGGTGTTTTTTTAGCTCAGCCCTAAATGGAGATACCAGTGATTGAACCAAGGACCTTCTGCAGGCATAGCAGGTGCAGTATCACTGAGCTATGCCCCTGTCTCCAAGAGGCAGGAGCTGCAAGTGAAAAGCCATATGACACTTTAACTATACCTGCTCTTATCCTATCAAACTGAGCCACTTAGCCAAAGCCAGCCTTTGCAGTTGACGTTTTGCATGGTACAACAAGAGTGCAAGGTGGGGGTTGGATCCAGAGGTTTAGGACATCCTTTCAGTTTGCATCTTTGCCTTTTTTGCTCTAGATTCTCCGTGCCTATTGTGTGATCCTAGAGAGGCTGCTGGAGAATGAGGAGACCCAAATCAATGGCTTCTGCATCATTGAGAACTTCAAGGGCTTCACAGTGCAGCAGGCTTCTGGCATCAAACCTTCCGAACTGAAGAAGATGGTGGACATGTTGCAGGTGAAAAGAACAACCTCCTGGCAATCCCAAGAAAGCAAAAGGCACAGGCACCAGCCATAGACAGGAAAGAAGCCTCAAAGCTAGGAAGAAGCAAAAGCCCTGAATCTGCCATTTGTAGGGTATCTGGCTCTTCTAGCCTTCCTTAATCCTCTTCTACTGGTCCCTGCAAAGCAGTATGTGTTCCTGAGGTGACAGTGAAACATGGCCTTTCTTCTTGGCCACTGCTGGAGTCACCAAAGTGCTTTCCTCTGTGGAATCCCCTTTGCAAGGCAGCTGCTTGCCAAGTGCTCCAGGGACTGTGTGAGCATGCTGTGAATAAGAGCAGGAATTGGGAGGTGACAGAGTATGAGAATAGCAGGAGCACACACATCTGTGCAGCTCCATGACTGATGAATGTAGATATGTGAGCTCAGACAGGGAAGATGTACAGCCAGAATGCATCCAATCAATCAAACCCAGAAGCTTCAAAAGAGGCCTTTCAGGAAATGGGAAGCAAATAGCCCCATCTGGCATCTGAGAGAAGGTAGGGGTTCCTAGGGTACTAGCAAGGTGGTTGATATATCTTACACATTCACACATCACTGGGTACGGGCTTCTGGGCAAATGCTCTCCTCTATCCTCAAAGAGAAATCTAGATGTCAGAGGACAGAATTACAGGATGTTGAAGTAACCCTCTCCTGCCCATTCTCTCCTTTCAATTTCTGCTCTCCCAACCTGTGTGACTTTGGAATTCCTAGGATTCCTTCCCAGCCCGTTTCAAGGCTGTCCACTTCATCCATCAGCCTTGGTACTTCACTACAACCTACAATGTGGTCAAACCTTTCCTGAAGAACAAACTGCTGGAGAGGGTAAGTATGCACGCTGGGCATACATGTACTACAGAAAAAGCATTGTCAGAATAAAGGTAAAGGAGGTGGCAGTTTTAGACCAGGGCTAGATTTTACAGAGGAAACCAGTGAGAGCAGCCATGAGCAGCAGCCTGGGCATTTTCGTCTTTCCTGTTACACTCCAGTGGAGCACACAACTTATGAGGGCAGACTGGAACACTAAAAGGCCAAGGAGCAAGCCGAGTGGTCACCCATCACCTCCTTCTCCACTGTTGCAGACTGGATCTGAGCTGAGGGGCCTCTCTGGACTTGGACCCAGCCATTGGCAGCACAGGAGACAGCAGCAGGCAACTTTCAGCTCAGCTTGTTCCTGGCCACCAGCAGCCCTCCAAGACAATGGTCCACCTTGTGCTCACCCTCTTTCCCCTTTCTTCTTAACATTCAGGTCTAGTGGTCCACCTTGTGCTCACCCTCTTTTTTCCCCTTTCTTCTTAACATTCAGGTCTTTGTGCATGGCGATGAACTGGAATCTTTCTACCAAGAGATCGATGCCGATATCCTGCCAGCAGATTTTGGGGGTAACCTGCCAAAATATGATGGCAAAGACACAGCTGAGAAACTTTTTGGGCCCAAGATGGATGGTGAAGACACAGCTCTCTGAGAAAATGGGGGGGGGGGGAGCAGCATCCCAATCTAGAAAATAGGGTCAGGGTGGCCATCAAACCCAGCCATCCTTTTAAATGTAGTGTTGGTTGAAAAGATCTGTCATGATCATAAAACTCCAGGATGCTCATCTTCTCACACGTTTCTTGGCCCTTCTGCCACCAGTCAGGCCCAGAGCACAGCAGACTCTGCTGTTTAAAACTTCAGAAGAACCTTCTCCCCCTTCCCTCTACCCCGGTGAGAAAGGCAAAGGATGTGGTAGGAAGGCCAAGAAAAAAGAAAATGCAGAGGCACTGCTTTGAATCCAAGTGCCTGGGTAGTACAGAAGCTGAGAAGTGCCTTCTTCCCTTACAATATAATGGATTGTCTAATAAACAATAGGGACGAGCAGAAAATGGAGGTGCCACAGTTACATGTCTGAGGGCCCCAGTATTGGTTGTGCAGGAAGGATTGGCTAAGGAAGGGAGAGAGAGAGAGAGAGAGAGACAAAGACCAAACAGACCAAATTGGGCCCTTGCAGCACTGTAAACAGCAAGGACAGATAATTCACTGCAGGAGAGTTCAGCAACGACCTGTTTTCAGTTTTTTTTAAAAAAATAAACACTGACAAACAAAGGTTTTTGGGCTCCCTTTGTGTTAACTATAAATAAAAGCACCAATAACTAGAGCTCCACTGACTCCATGCTTAAGGTAACAAATTAAACAGTTGCAGAATTTTTTCCGATTTGTGTAGACATTATGCCCATGAAGCACATTGGAATTGTTTTTGACAATTTATTCTACAATTTTCTATTATTTATTGCATTGTTGGTAATTCTGGTAAATGGTAAAGAGTTATGTTGGCCCCTGTCGATATTGTTGAGCAATAAAATTAGGCACTACATAAATATTAAGCACATATTCAAAACCACGAGGGCTAGAAATTTTTTTTAAGGAAATCAATTCCTAGGAAATTCTGCAGCTTGCCCTTCAGTTCTGCAGCTTTTCTGCATTTTTGCAGAACCACAGAATATAAACAGCCCTACTGATCACTTACTGACAAAAGTGCAAGACCAGGATTAACATGGACAGAGAGGTTGTTGAGAGGTACCCAGCTGCATTGGATGAGTACAAATCCCCTGGACCAGATGGTGTGTACCCGAAAGTGCTCAAATAACTTTCTAGAGAGCTCGCAGAGCCTTTGTCCAAACTCTTCAGGACCTCTTGAAGGATGGGAAATGTACTACAAGACTGAAAGAGCGGGAATGTTATCCCAATCTTCAAAAAAGGGAGGAAGGACGAGCCAGGAAACTACAGGCCAGTCAGCCTAACCCCTTTCTCAGGGAAGATATTAGAACATATTTTAAAGGGGTCAGTCTAAGAGCATCTGAAGAACAACTTGGTGATCAAGGGAAGTCAGCAAAGATTTGTCCCCCCAGGCCCTGAGAGACCAACTTTTTTTCCTTCTTTGACCGAGTGATGGGTTTACTGGATTGTGGGAATATGTTGATGTTGTTTACCTAGCTTCCGGTAAAACTTTTGACAGGATTCCCCATGATCTTCTGATGGGTAAACTGGAGAACTGCAGACAGGTCTCTAGGATACTTAGGTGGATAATTAAGTGGATAGGTTGGAGAACCGCACTCAAAGAGTAGTTGTCAACAGCATTTCATCGGACTGGAGGGAGGGGTCCAGTGGAGTGCCACAGGGCTCAGTTCTGGGCCCAGTACTTTTCAATATTGTTACAAATGACCTGGATGGGGGTGGAAGGACTACTAATTAAATTTGCAGATGACACCAAATTGGGAGTAGCAGCAAAACATCTGGAAGATATACAATTCAATGAGATCTAAATGCACCGGAAAAGTGGGCAGATGTGAACAAGATGCAAGTCAACAAGGATTAAAAAAAAAAAAAAACAAGGATAAGTGCAGAGTTCTACAGTTGCGTAACAAAAATGAGAAGCATGCATACTGGATGAGGGTTACACTTCTGGGATAGCAGTGTGTATGAACAAGATCTTGGTGAGCTGTAAACTAAATATGAGCAGTCAGGGTGATCCAGCAGCAAAAAAGGCTAATGCCATCTTGGGGTATGTCAAGAGAGGCATAACATCCAAATTGCAAGATGTCATAGTCCCACTGTATGTCGCATTGGTCAGGCTACACCTGGAGTTCTGGAGGCCTCACTTCAAAAAGGATGCGGACAGAATGGAATGGGTGCACAAGAGAGTGACAAAGATGATCAGGGGCCTGGAGACCAAGCCCTATGAGGAAAGGCGGAGGGACTTGGGACTGTTCAGTCTGGAGAAGATGGGGTTGAGGGGGACACAAGTATTCTCTTTAAGTATCTGAAAGACTGTCACTAAGAGGAGGGCAGGGAGGTGTTCCTGTTGGCAGCAGAGGACAGGACTCGCAATAATGGGTTTAAATTAAGGGTTGGGAAGGTACTGGCTGGATATTAGGGTTGGGAAGGTACTGGCTGGATATTTTTTTACAATAAGAGTACTTCAGCAGTGAAATCGGCTGCCTAGGGAAGTGGTGAGCTCCCTCTTACTGGCAGTCTTCAAGCAGTGGCTGGACAAACACTTGTCAGAGATGCTCTAGGCTGATTCTGTATGGAACAGGGGGTTAGACTAGATGGCTTGTATGGCCCCTTCCAACCCTATGATTCTGTGTGCTTGTAACCTAATGATTTTAGTGGGAAAACAGCAGCCAATGGGAGAGGGGGACAAGATTCCAGACAAATGCCTCAGACATTCTGGAAGCAGTTTTTGTGATAGGCTTAAATAACAACTAGTTATAAAAGTGAAGCTGCCACTCCCTGTATAGAAGACCCCCTCTGGTTTTGCGCAGCTATTCCACATAGTTATTTTGCAAAGAGATTACAACTATCAAGATGTGGGCATGGCAAATGCCTTCTGGTTCACAGAAGTGGTTGTGTGATGACTTCACTGTGAGAGTCAGAGACCCAAAGTGCACCCTCCCAGGCAAAAGACAGTCCTATCTCCAGTGACAACCACCACCAGCTCACTCCTGTACATTTGCCTATTCTCCATTATGTTGTTCTAAGTATACCAGGGAGGTGGATTAGGGATTGTGCAGCATGGGCTGTTGGATGCCAGGAGCCTCAGGCAGCAGTTGGCATGTAGGGAAGCACAAGTACCTTGCAACTTCCATCATACATAATCAGGCACATTTTTATTCTGCCCTTTCTCCAAGGAGCTCAATCAATGGTTCTCCCCTCCTCCACGTATTCCTCACAACCATCCTGTGAGGCAGTCCAGGCTGAAAAGTGTGCAGTCTCCCAGTAAAATGCACTGCAGAGTGAGGATCTGAACCCGGATCTCCCAGTTCCTGGCCCAACAGTCTAGCCACTGGAACAAACCAGCCCAGCCAAATCCCCATTTTTTACTGTACTACACTTTTTGAACAGGGAAATTTAACTGACTAGTACAGTGATACAGTCAACCTGACTGTTTTATTCCTATGACCTGCACATGGGGTATATTCGCCTGCATTTAAGATGCCAGGAAGCAGAAAAGCCAAAGAGAAGCTGATTCTCTTTTCTTTGCCCCATTCCTCCTTTTCCCCCACGGAACTGAATCCACAACATAGACTCTGCCTCACTGCCATTCCTGTTCCTCAAATCAAATACCAGGCCTGTTTGACTTGAGAACCAGCAGAGGTCCCTCTGAAATGGAAAGACCTGAAGAGACCTACAAGAGGTGCATTCATTGGACCACTGGCTCAAGCCAAACAGGATGTCTGTCGTGAAGGTGAAGGGATGGGGCCTTTCTAAAAGAAGCAGTGTGGGGGGGGGGTTAGTTGAGCCATCCCCAACACCCTAGGCAGAGACGTTAACAGCAGAGCAGAAACATTGCTGGGATCAGGTGTGTTATCTCTGCCACTGCTTTGTGCGGAATTTGTCCATGGTAAAGAATAAAACTGATACTATTCTGTCCCAAAGTTGGGAGAAAGCTGAAAGGCAGACACAGCCCCTGCTTGCCTCTTTTCATTCATCACTCCAGCATCCCACAAAAAACAGTTCCGCGATTGCCAGCTGAGCCAAGTGCTACTAGAGTTCAACACCATTACAAAATGTGACAGTACATTACAATACAGAAGTTTTCATTCTCCTGCAAAGCATTTGCCAAACCAGGCCTAAATACAGGATTATTCTGTTACAAAATAGCATGTACATCACACAAAGCTCCTTGGCAGAGGAGTGCGATAAAATCAAAACAGAGAGATATATAGGTGGTGTTGCATTCTGAGGAAGAACTGGTAACACCCCCCCCTCCCCTCCACAGTGCCTTGCCAAATTTTATTAGTCAAATTTAAAGGAATCAAAAGGGTCAAATATACATAGAACTGCAGAATTGTACTTGGACTATTACTTTCATTGTACACATCACAAACCTGTAGGAATAGATGATAACACATCACAAACTCATTTTGAACTCAAGCGTTCTTTATTTTTTAAGCAAAGAAATCCCATTTAATCAACGATTAACAAAATCACTCTGTTTGCAATGACCTCAGTTTATCACACAAAGAACAACATAAAAAGAAAAAAAATCAAGGACACACTTTTTATAAGTTCTTAAAACATTAGCATTTAGAAAAAATTGCATTGGTAGTTGCAAATCTTCATCCTATCGGCAACCGGCTCCCGAGAGTCCAACAGAGGAACCGGCAACTTGAAGAGTTGCTTACACACATGAAACATTTTCAGGGCAGCATTTTTGTTTCCAAAGGAATCAGGAATGTGAGAGTGATGGTTTCCAAAATGTCTATTTGGAAGCAAAAACGGCCAACAAAACTCAGGTTCAAGAGATACCTTTAAAATAAGAAAACACACCACATTCTACTCACTCCAATAAGGCAGCTGCAGTGACAGAAATCAAAGCACGCACAGGTTCAGGTCTAAGCTTCCTGAGGAGCTGGGATATCACTCTGCTTGGGTATGTGTGTGTGTGTGTGGGGGGGCTCTCAAAAAAGTTGTGCTTTCCTACTTAATGAGGAGAAATAAAACTGTCCCAAATTAATCAGTGGGATTCACAAATAAAACAGAGCGAAGCAATCAGCTTGGGAAACAACGAATTCACAAAGATGGTGGATTAAAGATGGAATTCACAAAGATGGTATTCCCAGAAGCAGCATGGTCCCTTGACAGGCAATGCTTTTAAGAGCCACACTGATATGAAATTTAGCCTCCTTGATTGAAAGAAGGTGTTTGTGTTTTTCTTTCTGTTTTCCTCTATGACTGGAACCAGCCAAGCTGCTGGGAGTTAGGACTGAGGAGCTAAAATGACATTTCCCACCCAGAGGATGAAGGGCAGAGCTTCTCTTGGTGGAGGGAGGGAGTGCCAGTTCTGAGTCCCAGCTTTGTAAATGCTGCCCTTTCATGGCTGTGCCCCTTTGACGTAACCAGCAAAAAGAACAGGATGCTAATGCTTAAATGAGATTCAGTACAGTTCTTGGTAAATCCAAATACTTCCCCCCCCCCAACCCACCTCAGATGATTTCATCTCACTTTGTCACACAACCATACCTGAAAGCTGAAGCAGTCTTTTAAAAAAAAATCCTAGATGGGAACAATTATGGACAATCAAACAGGACTCTTGCCAAAAGAAAACAAAAGCCACACACTCCAGCAGCACTGCATGATACCACTATTTCAATGGAGTCCTTGCCCTAAAGCAAGCAAATGGCCCTGACTTCTAAATAGCCATTTACAGAAACATCACACCAAGAGCAGGTTGGCTTTCGCCCTCATTTAGATCATCTGCAGTAAATTCACCTGGTGTGTCGCCAAGACCCTCCCATGGTACAAAGCAACAGACATGCCAACAGAACAGAAATATGGGAGGTGGGGCAGTGTGGACACTTCCTACACAATAAGGTGGAGGTATTACTGCTGTCATGAAAATTCACTGATGCAAAGGTAGACCCTTTTCCTAGTCTCCAATGATGAAATACCAAAACTACTACTTTCCACTTCTGTTTTGGCAACAAAGCCAAAGGAAGTTCAACAGTAACTGGAGCATGTACCATTAAGACAATGAAATTAATGGGAAACTGCTTACCTCACTGTTCATATGGATAGGTGAGAGATGCAAGTGGATTTGGGCCCACTGCAACATTTTCCTTTTTAAAAAACTAAACAAATAAAGAGTTAGGAAATTAAGCTGCCATTCACTGCTTGAAGCCTTCCAAAGGTAGGCCTAAAATGTCTAGGCATACTTCCTCAAGCATGTGATGATTCAAACACAACAAGGCTTCTTTGACTGGAGGCATTAACAAGTTGTCAAGGTTGCAGACAGCTGAGCTACTGTATTCCAAGCGCTCTAGGTAGCATCAGCAAACAGCCAAGTTTACGCATTACTGTCACCTGGCAAAGGCTGCTTTCAATCATTCAACATGGTGGCTGTTGCTGCATGATGGCCAGTGGACTGCAGCTCATGGGTCAATATTCAGTGCAGTAATTGTAAAAAAGAGCAATTTACAACACCTTTTTTAAAAATCCAATTAATGTTGTGAGCTTCCACACAGCAACTGTAACACTCTGGGCCAGCTTTTCTTCTCGTTTTATTTCCAACGAAATCCTGCTGCCTTTCTAGAATGATTCAGGACAGAGAATGCCTGAATGTGCATTACGTTCTGACTTCACTGGAAAATTACTAATAGAAGTTCATGCCATTTTTAACTGGAATTTCTGCAACTACTTTTCATTGGTCAAGCTCTCATCAGCTCTTTCTTCCTCCCGTGTTTTTATAGTCCACAGAAGACTCTACCTCAACCAGTTCAGAATTCTCCTGGTTTGTTGACTCACAACACAATGAGCACACATATGCCCCTCACTGGCCATGTCAAATTAAGATTTGGGCTCTCCACATCTGAAGGGGGGGGGGGTTGCTCCATGAATTGCAAACAGTGATTTGCCCACATGATTTCTGAAGGGTGGTGGCAGTATAGATAGAATGGTACATCCCCCTCCCCACTGCTCAAAACAAATTCAGTAACAGAAAATTGTTGCTTCTTGGAAAAGGCTATAGATACAGTTCCATGGCAATGTAATCCCTGAGTACAGAAGCATTTAGAATGCCTAACAGGAGTACAGAGACATTGGCTTCTTTTCTTGCTCACACACATGATTAATCTGCCACTGAAAGGCCCTTTGAAACATGATCAAATTGTGTCCTCAAACTTCACTTTCCACAGAGAGATGAAGGAAATAAATGCCTTATTTTGCAAAGGGGTTCAATAGTTTCTCTTAAGTTATAGTTTGCATTAAAAAAAATTCTTATTTCGGGGGGGGGGGAGAATGCAATTTTCTGTGTATTGAAAACATCAAAAAAGTAGAGCCAGAAGGAAAAGAAGATCTCAGTGACAAGGGCTAGTATTACTGCCTCTGTCTGTTGCTTTGGTTAAATGGCTGCAGAATGAAGAGGCAGCAGCAAAGTAACATGCTGGAGGTTGATGCAAAAACAACAGATTCTCTACAGCTTACCTTTTAAAAATTTAAATATGTTGAAAGGGAAATAAGCCACTTTATCTCCCGTTTTATACACTGTAGCTACTGAAACTGACTTAATCACCTATATATCTACTTCTAGTCAAGTGAGAAATGAATTCTAGGTACTGCTATTCCTGCTTATGGGATTACTACATTAATTGCACAAAATGCTATGTCCTGTATGTTTTGGTTTTGATTATCAATGCACAGGGAATCTCCAGAGAATGGTATATGAAGAAGGTGAAGAGTATCTTAAAACCTACTCTTTAAAAAAAAAAGTGTGTGTAGTAGTGGGGAAATTCCACAAGCTTTGCCATTTTTTGGCTTTGTCATTTGCTCCTTCTACCTGAGGGAACGACAGGTCCTCAGTTTTTCTCACATGAAAGCAAGTCTAGGTCACAGATTGACCAGATTAAAAATTGCTGGACTAAGGCAAACTGAAGGAATTTGATTGTTGATGAGAGAAAAGCACCTTTGCTACAGTAGTTGATTATTGCTCAATTAAAACAAAATAAAAAACATACAAAGACACCAACCATATGCCTCTCTGAATTTCAGAGACTGGTCCTGGAAGCATACAGCACAGAACTGAAGTTCAGAAAGTTTTCCTACATGTGTTAAAAGGCTACAATTAATTAAAGTGCCTAGAAAGCAAAACCAAAAGTGAAACATAAAAGTGCTAACGATCATTGTGAGAGAACTGCAGAGATGAGAGAGCCACAGAGGAACTGACAATACTAATACTAGTGGGAAGTGAACGTGAAACAGTTTGATATAAAGTTCCACCATCACTTTAATCAGGTTTTGCTTTTATTTAAAAAAAATTCTGACAGGGTGAGATTTCTCTTCTACGGTGGTGACTGGCTCACTTCAGAAGTCTGTCTCTACTGTCTCTACTGCACAACAGGAAAAAAAAAGACAATGGACCTTCATACTGTAGGCACCCACATGCCACCCTTGCCAATTTCCCTTGGTTGTCTTGGTCCCAAAAACTTTGCAACAAGGAGCATGCAATGTTCCAGAAGACTCTTGAAACTGTCCTACAACTTCTCAGTCACTTCAGAAGCATTTAGCCACACAGAAACATTATCAGTTTAGGGTTTCTGATTACTGCCAACTTCTCTAAGGCAAGTCATGGTGGTCAGAACAGAGATTCAATGCTTAAAAAAATTGGGAAGATGTTTTTCTTTTGATTTGCTGCTCTGACATACTTGAGAGATGGAAGAAACAAACACAAAACAGAACACAGATATAACCTGATAAATACCCCCCCCCCCCCCGTTCCTACGAGGATATATATTGATTCACTATGAAATATTCTGAAGGGGGGAAAATGAACTACCCACAGTCTGACAGTAACTAGCTTCCACTCAAGACAGAATTAAAAGGCCTGGTTAAGAGCACACAAACAACCCTGTGTGAAAATAGAAGTCCTCACATTAGAAAAGGTAAGTATCACAAGGCTACCATTTTAGTCTCAAGAAGTGTTAACCAAGCAGGCAATCTATTGTATTGATTGACCATGAAGTTCCAAACAAAAGCAGAATTCTGCAGTAACTGAAAGTGCTGATACCATGTAAAAAAAAACATCAGAATCGCTTCAACAAAATGGATGAAAAAGGATTGATTTCTGGAAACTTCAGTCCCCACATCTTCTCCTTGCTTTATAGACCGATGACCTGTAAAGTGAACTGCTGGTTTCTTTTACAGATGTTGGTGTGGGGGAGGAGACAGAAGGGGAGAGAAAAATGCAAACACGAAGAAAAGGTAAACTCCTAAAATCCACTTCACTAACAGCTAGATGTAATTCTGCAAAAATCCGGAAGAGAGTTTTTGATTGGTGAAGGTGAGGACTGACGTTCAGGACTGCTGGACCTTCATCCTACTTTAGAAGGATGCACAGGTTTCTGAACCTCCAAAGCAAGTTACAGACAGCAACTCATCAATACAGTGGATCAGTTCTTTAAATGCACAGAAAAGAGGACTGCAACATTCAGACATACTCCAAACCAGACACTGCCCCCCTCTGTTGTACCTCTGCTTTGTCATGGAACACTGTGGACACACCCAACTTCAAGACGTCAAGATGACAGGCCTGGAAAAGCAGGGGGAAGAAGAGTCCCAGAAGATGGGGGTGGGGGAGATACGATGAAACAACCTGAAGGTCTTTGGGAGCATTTACTCTTGGCCAGATGACGACTGTTCTGTATCAGAACATTGAGATTTATTCCGCTCCCACTGGCATATGGCACTGGCATACTGCACCACAAGCTTATCCATCCACGTGAGGGGCTCAGGAAAGAGTACTGCACCTTCGAAGAAGCCCAGGTGACCTCCATGTAGTGGCAGAACGAACATGACATTTTCCCGCTTCTCTGCAAGAGTAAAAAACCAATACTTTTTAGAATCTCAGTTGAAGAGTTCTATATTCTGATAAAACTGGGAGGCCAGATTTGTGAGAAAACTTTGTTTGAAGTGTATTACCTTGGTTAGGATATATACTTCACAGGGAGCCAGTAGTACTCTAGAGAGTGGTTCACAGACCCTTGCCCCAGACTGTAGGATGCATTAGTTAAAAGGGAAGACTGCAACCCACAGAATTCAACTCCATGTTACTTCTCCTAAAAATCAGGCTGATGGGCAGGTAGCATAAATTACAATTCTGCATGCTGTCCCTAAGCAAAGCTCAAGACTGTCTTTAGGCTGCCTGCGCTTCACAGTGCATCACAGCCTTGCAGATTCTTCAAAATCCAAAGCAACTATTCACTAAATCCCAGGAGGAAAGACACAACCTGAGCTGTTCCAGTACCCACTTTTTATTCCCTTCAAGTAACAGAGTATGTGGTGGTAGAAAATCAAGAGAAAACTGATTGTTTTACCCAAGTGTTCCACTCACCTGCAAGTGTTCTTGGAATTGATAACAGACTATCATGCACTAGAGGGTCATCAGCAGCATTAACCAGCAAGAGGGGAACGTAGATCTGCATTGTAACAGAAAGAATAAGAAAAGAGTAGTAAGGCATGGGTCTGTAACTGAGCTTGACTCTATCAACAAGAAAAGGCACCTACTCTCAAGCTGCATACAAAGGAATGGTCAAATGTCACATCCCACATTTGCTCTGAATCTGCACGAATATCTGTCTTGACAAGTACTGTGGTGTAGTGGTTAAAAGTGTTGGTCCACGATCTGGGAGACCCAAGTTTGAATCCCCACTGCCACGGAAACTCACCAGATGACCTTGGGCCAATCATACCTTGGCCTAACCTACTTCACAGAGTTGTTGTGAGGGTAAGATGAAGGAAAGGAGAACACTGTAAGAGGCCTTGGTTCTCTATTGGAGGAGGTGGGGTACAAATTAAATAAATACATAAATTTGACAACACCTATTTAAAACTGCTGGAGAAAGCTTATTAGTGTTGAACTGAAACTTTATAGGAAACCCAAAATTCAGAGGATACCTAAGTAGGGTCATGCAGGAACACTGAGATTATGCGTGCACTTCCTCACAGACTGTAGTGAATGGTTTAGAAGAGCATTCAGGCCACTGTAGCTAGACATAAAATCATATCATATACAACAACAGGCATTCTGAATGCACGAGGCAACCTTTATTAATGGAAGATGAGCACAGTTAGAATAATCAGAGGTTCAGATCTCCTGTTCATTAGGGCTGGAAATGAGAATTGTGTTTCCCAGAAATGGCCAGGGGAGGGCCATTTTACAGACTGACATTGCATCCAACCAAGACAAGAATGGATTAGAGTCTAGGTAACTTGGTCACAGAAAATTTTACTTTCCCTCGCACTGGCAAACAGCATCTCTTCTAGCACAGCACTGTTTTGTGGCAGCAATCAGTTCATGGGATTGTCTTTCTGAAAAGCTCATTTATCACCTACAGCCAGCACCAAATTTAAGAATGTGAACCTTGCAGAATGAGCTAGAAAAGTGAATACTTTTAAGTGGTGGCAGTCTATCCCAATCTGAGTCTGGGAAACATAAAAACAGTACTTATTCAAAAATGTTTCATAGATATTTTGTCTACATAGTTCCAAGTATAGACTTTTCTGCTTGCTGTATACAATAAATTGAATTGATTGAACTGGAGAGGCAAGAAAGGAAAACACAGGAAACATTAAATCTGAGCTATCCCACTGGCTAGTCAGTCTGACTTCGGTTGTTGGGAAGATATTAGAGCAGATTTTAAAGGGATTGATCTGTAAAGCATCTGAAGGACCACTCAGTGTTCTGGGGAGTTAGCATGGTTTTGTCCCCAACAGATCCTTCTTTGATTGTGTGACAAGCTTACTGGATCATCGGAACTCTGTTGATGTGATTTACATGGATTTCAGTAAAGCTTTTGATAAGGTACCCCATGACATTCTGATGGAAAAACTGGAAGACTGCGGACTGGACTATAGGACAGTTCGGTGGATAGGGAACTGGTTAGAGGACCGCACCCAAAGAGTGGTGGTCAATGGCATTTCACCAGATTGGAGGGAGGTGTCCAGTGGGGTGCCACAGGGCTTGGTTATGGGCCCCGTACTTTTCAATATTTTTATCAATGATCTGGATGAAGGGGTAGAAGAACTACTCATTAAATTTGCTGATGATACCAAATTGGGAGGAGTAGCAAACACCCAAGAAAATAGAGTTAAAATCCAACAAGACCTGAGCAGTTGCAAACAGGATGCAATTCAACAAAAATATAAATTCAGTATACAAAATAAGCCTTAAGCTCTGAGAGTCTTTTTGGTAGGAATACTATTAATGAATTTAGAATAGATTATTATATTGGTACTGGGTTTTTTTTAAGAACAAGTAAGTAGTAAAATCAAACTACAAAATATATTAGATTGCACTATCTGAAAGTAATCAATTTTATTGGTGGCTCAAAGCATAGAAGATATACTATTGTATTGATTTTACACATTGGTTTGAACTGTTGAATTTATTAGCAAAAATTAATTAATTGCATCTCTGATTAGTTAAGTTGATTCTATTGTTGACTAAAGATTCATAAGTAATTGTAATTAACTGAATATAAAACTAAATTGATTACATATTATTACTAAGTAATTTATTTATATTAGTGTTGCAGAATTCAAAATATGCCATTTGGACACTGTGAGTACTTCTGTTAGGTTTAATTTTAACCATTACTGTATAGATTCTTACAATAATTTTGTGATCATTAAAATAAGTAAATTGTTAAAAAAAATAAAAATAAATGCACAGTATGACATCTGGGCCACAAAAATGTCAAGCACAAATACTGGATGGTAGTGTATGCGAAAGAGATCTTGGGGTAAGAGTGGACTTAGAGTTAAAATTCAACAAGACCTGAATACTCTGGAGAAGTGGGCAGTTGCAAACAGGATGCAATTCAACAAAGATAAATGCACAGTATGACATCTGGGCCATAAAAATGTCAAGCACAAATACTGGATGGGGGATACATTTCTGGGGAGTAGTGTATGCGAAAGAGATCTTGGGGTAAGAGTGGACTGTAAACTAAATATGAGCAGTCAGTGTGATGTGATGGTAAAAAGGCAAATTCAGTCTTGGGTTGTATTAAAAGGGCCATAGCATCGAAATCACAGGAGATCATAGCCCCTCTGTATACTGCCTTGGTCCGGCCACACCTGGAGTACTGTGTGCAGCTCTGGAGGCCTCACTTCAGAAAGGATGTGGACAAAATCAAGAGGGTGCAGAAGAGAGCGACAAGGATGATCAGCGTTCTGGAGACTGAGCCCTACGAGGAAAGGCTAAGGGCCTTGGGAATGTTTAGGGGGCATGATTGCTCTCTTTAAATGTTTGAAAGGCTGTCATTTAGAGGAGGGCAAGGAGCTGTTCCAGTTGGCAGCAGAGGATAGAACCCGAAGCAACGGGTTTAAATTACATCCACCTCCCGTTAGGCATCAGCCACTGTGACAGTATACAGGGACATCATGCACAGCCTTTGTCATCTGGCAATAAAGGCAATCAGTTGCTCACAGGCCAAGTAAGAGCCCTGGATGGGCTGGTTCCAGCCTGCGGGCCCCTGTTTGACACCCCTGCCTTAAAGGACGAAGGAATATATTTTTAAGGAATATACAGCTCTTGCTGATTTTTTGATGACTCCACATAAGGCTTCTGGTTAGAATTATCATTTGAGTATGTGTGGCATAAACTAGGCTGGCTGTAAATCAACGCCTGTTTTTCAGAGATTGTTCTTAAGTGCCTTGGGCACCAAATTCCCTTGGGCACCCAAACATCCCACCATCAGAACAACAACAAAAACCAAAGCACATTGTAAATCTTGACAATATTTACTGCAGCAACTTACCCTATACAAGAAACGCAAGCAACTCTCCTCCTCGTAATATTCCTTTAAGGAGCGGTAGCCATGGAATTTCCTACAGTATAAAAAACAAATTTAAGGATAGGAAAGATTTTTTTGCAGTGGGATGACACATCACTTTCTTCTAGTTCCCACTCCCAGAATCAGAGAACAATTTGCTCATACAAAGAGAGTGAAATAATCATTTCTGTGTTTCAAAGCCTGAAGTTAGTTTGGACTCTAGAAGACACTGTTTAATAAAACATCTAGGGCATATAGAGCTATTTCTTACTCTTAACCACAAATATAGATTTATCTACATTTAATTCCAAGAAATTACTTGTTCCAGGGAAGGAAAAGGCAGGTTGCTTACCAGTAACTGGTGATCCTCGAGTGGTCATCTGTGCATTCACACCCATGGGATCTAGTGTGCACGCGCTGGATCGATCGGTGCTGTAGCAAGCTCTTTTAATGGATTTTCATGCTCAGTCCCTCGGGAATGTGAAGGAACCTCACCGCGCATGCCCAGAGGGGTGGGCGTGGACATCCCGCCAGTTCCTTCAAACTGCTGCAAATCAACCCCTATTAAGAATGTAGAAGCTGACAGCAGCGGGGAAGGAGGGCGGGTGGTGTGAATGCACAGATGACCACTCGAAGATCACCAGTTACTGGTAAGCAACCTGCTTATCGATGTGGTCTCTGTGCTTCACACTCATGGGAGATTAGCGAGGAGTAGCCTACCTGGAGGAGGGTGCTGGCAGGTCTTTTACTGCGTAGCCGAAGATAGAATGTGACGTCCCATGTTGGTATTGGTGTTTGTACAGACGTCTAGGGCATAGTGCCTGATGAAGGTGTTAGGCGTGGCCCAGGTAGCAGTTTTGCAAATGTCCGTTATTGGCACTCCCTGGAGGAAGGCAGTGGAAGTCGCGACAGCCCTGG